TCTCTAGACTGGAAATTAACATTTTTAATTAATCTGAATGTTTTGCCTACATGTCTGTGCACCACATGTACACCTGGTGCCAGAGAGATCAGAAGAGGGTGCTGGATCCCCTAAAACTACAGCCAAAGGGCTGTGAACCACGGTGAGTGCTGGGAACTGGACCTGAGTCCTCTGCTCTTAACTGCTGAGCCATCACTCTAGGCCCTGGATTGAAAATTTCATTCACCATAGTTTGGGAAACACTGGGCTAGCCTTAGGAAGTTACACGTGTCTTTAGCTTGATCAGCAGATTAAATATAGATAAAATTCTGAATAAATCTCTGTTGCTTAAGATGCTGTTAATACTTCAAGTAATTTAAATTTTTAATATTTAAAAATTAGAAATCCTAAGCATACAGGAGCATATTTTTAACCAAGTCAATATTTACATGTAGAATAGTTCAGCTTTCACAAACCAACAAATTAACAGATCTCACACACAGCTTTCCTATTTCCACAGTTAAGTAATAAAAGTCAGAACCAGGACATGGTGTTTCCTATTAATCCAGCATCATGTCCATAGAGATTATTAAAGGAGAAGAGACTGGTAGAAAATTCTCTGAAAGAACTGAAATCTTTATGTGTATATGGTAGATGCATGTGGAGCCTGAAGTTGATGTGGAGTGTCGTCCTCAACAGCTTCTCTACCTTTATTTTTTAGAGACACAGTCTTTCACTGAACCTGGAGTTCAATGATTGGCTAGACTGGCTGACTAGCAAGTCCCAGGGTTCCTTAGTTTCTACCTTCCCAGGGCTGGGATTACAGACAGGCCTCACCCAGCCATTTCTGCAGCAAGCACTTTACAAACTGAACCACCCTCCCAACCCTCCCCTAACAAAACCTAACTATGTTAGATTAACAAATAAAGAGTCTTTGGAAGTACCAGAATGTTCTGTTAAGCCTGGACTTCCCAAAGTTTAAGTAATTTTAATTCAAACAACAATTAAACATTCAGTTCAAAGATCTGAGGATGGTTAGCCCAGTTAGCAGCAGTAAAAATATGAGATCTTCCAGCTGGGTGGTGGCGCATGCCTTTAGCCCCAGCACTCCAGAGGCAGAGGCATCCAGATCTCTGAGTTTGAGGCCAGCCTGGTCTATAGAATGAGTTCCAGAACAGCAAGGTCTACACAGAGAAACCCTGTCTCAAAAAGGAAAAAAGAAAAGAAAATATGAGATATTTTTCTTTGAGAGTAAGACAAAACAATATCAGTGTTTGTTCAGTGGTATTTCCAAGTAACTAAATGCTGGAAGGTCTACTAAGGCTTCCTAGGGAGAGAAAGCAGGTATGCAGGCTCTTTCAAGTTAGCTACCAGCAAAAAAAAAAAGTTATCAGAAATAGTGCCAGTATGAATAAGTTTTCAGGTATGAGGAAGGAAATCAAAAGCTAGTTTTAAATGATGAATTTTATGTTAAATGTAGGGAGCAGTGAGACCTCTGAAAGTCATCTACCTAGACTGAGGCTTTAGGTGGAGTACTTCCCCATTACCCCCACTCTTTTTCAAAGTATGCACTGGGAGTAAACACTTGTCCAATTTTACACTCACATCTAGAGGAACTCTATTAAGAACTTCTGGAGGAGCTGGGGATGTGAACAGGAATGAGAATGTACTTGGCATCAAGTCTTCTACCTTAGATGAAGCATTTCTTGGGGCAGTAGGAGGTTGAGGCAGGGTTAAGCTGCCCGTACCCTCTCACAGCAGTCCTACTCCAACCTCTCTGTGGTAGGGATCACAAGTGTGCACCTAACCCAGTTCTAATGTATTTTTACTTGTGGGTAAAAATTCCCCATTACTCCAAAACAAAGTCCTAAATTTCCATTCTGCATAAAATTCCTTCTAGTTCCTCAGTAGAAAATTGCAGACTATGAGAACTGGAAAGATGTGGTTAAAAGTGCACACTTGTTCTTGCAGGGGATCCAAGTTTGATGCCCAGTAACCATGTCAGGTGGCCTACAACTGCCTAAAACTCCAGCTTCAGGGGATCTGACACTTCCTTCTGGTCTCTGCAGGCACCAGGTATAAACATATATTCACACAGGAAAAACATTTATAATTAAAAAAAGCTTTTTTTAATAAATCCCCCAAATGAATGATTTGGGGACATATTCCTATCTGTAGATCATCATGAAATGAGACATTAACTGAGAAATTGGAGAAGACTTTAGAGAGACCAATTTTCAACCTGGGCTCAGAGGTGTGGGTCTATACTCCTAGGCATTTGGAAGCCTAACATATTCAAGGCCAGCTTAGGAAAACACAAAGTGAAATCTCATCTTTTAAAAAACATCACACAGAAAAAGCAAGTCTTGCCAGTTGGGCGGTGGTGGTGCACACCTCTGGAGGCAGAGGCAGGCAGATCTCTGGTGTGGGACAATGGTCTGTATCCTGTCGATTATATTTTAAATAAATGTTGATTGGCCAGTAGCCAGGCAGGAAGTATAGGCGGGACAACCAGACAGGAAGTAGAGGTGGGTCAAGGAGAACCGGAAAATTCTGGAAAGAAGGAAGTTCTAGTCTGCAGTCATGACTCAGCCACAGAAGATATGACTGTCTCACTGATTAAGATATTGAGCCACCTGGCTAGCATAGACAATAATGGGCTAATATAAGTTATAAGAGTTAATAAGCCTGAGCTAATGGGCCAATCAGTTTATAACTAATGTAGACCTCTGTGTGTTTATTTGGGACTAAATGGCTGTCAGGAACCTTGGTCAACAAATGGCGCCCAATGTAGGGCAACTGCATCCACAGAAAGCCTGAGAGAGCTTGGGAAGTAATTCTACACAGAAAAGAATAGAGTTAAGCACGGCTTATTGATAGCAGCATTTTCTCAGGTGGGCTCTGTTTGCTAGAGGCAAATGTATCTCATTTAAGAGAGGCTTTCTGACTCAGCTTTAGCTGCAAAAACTTTGCAGCCCTTTTAATAGACTCTGTCACAAAACACTTAAATGGTGTTTATGAATAGCCTACAACATGCTTCTTGGTGGTGGCACAGACCTTGAAATACCATAGAGTCATGGCACTAAATGTGGCCCTGGCCAGTACCTCCGCCATGAGACTGGAATCTCAGAAAGTTAAGGAATGGGCTTGATCCAGCCATCAAAGCCACAGCATTAATCCTAGCCATATCACTTAGCAAATTAAAGACTCATGTGGTCAAAAAGAGAGAGATACAGTAAAGGTAGATTCAAAGATGAAGAAAACCTCTAAATGATTTACACTGTGTTAAAAATATATATATGTAGGCTTGGGAGAAAAAAGGATAAAGTCCTTTAATCCCAGCACTTGGGAGGCAGAGGTAAGCAGATCTCTGTCAGTTCAAGGACAGCTTGGTCTACAGAGGGAGTTCCAGGACAGCCAAAGATACACAGAGAAACCCTGTCTCAAAAAATCAAAAATTAAAAATGAAAGAAATAGAGGTTAAAATAAAGCTATGTAAAGATGAAAAATACACAGAGAGTCTAGACACTATATGTTATTATGTTCTCTTTAATTGTTTTAAATTGTTTGAATGCTGCTAAAAAATACTTGTTTATAAATGCTGATGAATTAATCCAAGATAGGTATTTGGAAAATACCTTGATTTGAAAATTAAGTCAAAAGGTATGCTACTTTGGAGAACAGGTTTTGCTTTTGTTTCCACAGGAAATGAGAGGCTGTGGATTCATTCTGGGTTAAAAAAAAATCAGGTTTGATCAAGGAAGACTCCCTGAGAAATCTTCAATAGAAGCAGACGGCCCAGATGTCTGAATTCTACATCCAGAACAGATTCAAGACCACTGCCTGAGATGATCAAGCCTCACAGGATACTCCAATCATGACTTGATCATAATTATAAATTTTCTTTAGGTCCCCGTAAGATTATCAGCGCCCCCAATCAGCAGGAAGTATCCTGGAAAACTACGCCCATATTCCCAAAAAATGGATTATGGATGTTTGCCTTTGTTTAGAATGTTAGTTACAAGTTGTTAAGTATAATGGTCAGGAGAAAAGCTAAACAAAGGATATTAGATTCAGAGTTCTTGCTTTAAAAAAGCAAAAAGCGGGAAGTGCTGTAGGACAATGGTCATTATCCTGTCACTTGTATTATTTTTAATAAAATGCTGATTGGCCAGTAGCCAGGCAGGAAGTATAGGCATAGCAATGAGAACAGGAGAACCATGGGAAGAGGGAGGCTCAGTCTCCAGTAGTCACCCAGTTGCAGAGTAAGCAAGATGTGACTGCCTCACCAAAAAAAAGGTACTAAGCCATGTGGCAAACATAGACAGATGATTTACTATTATTTCCATTTTTTATTTTTCATTTCTAAGTTATTCCATCTTCAAGTTCATGGAGTTATAAGTGCCTCACCTGTGCGTGCTTTTCTTCTCCACCTCTATATGTTGTGTGTGAACAGAATATATGTGTTTATCTCCTTTGTGTTATCTATTTCTTTTACCTTCCCAAACAAACAAAAAAAAAACATATTTACTTCAATGCTTTCTTAATCCTAATGTGTCATATATGAAACTGATTTTCCTCCTGATTTTAAGGCACATTTCCTGGTTCTTTTCATGCTTCGTAATTTTGAATGTTTAAACACTGATTTATCTTTTGCCTTGGGTTTTGTTTTGGCATAGTGTTAAGTTTCTTGGAATCACCCTCCGAAATTGCTTCTTTCACTTTTTTCAGTGAGAGGGTAGTGCAACAGAGCCTTTAATTAGAGCAGATATAGCTTTATTTCCAGGGCCATACCCTTTGATGGTCTGCAAATACTCTAGCAAGGAGGAACAGACTATGCCCGGCAGTGTGAGGTCATGGATCATTCTGCCTAGGGCATTCTTCAGGCAGAGTAGCCCCCTTCACCTAAGTGCAAGTCAATGCTCACCAGACCAACAGAGACTCTCTGCCTGTCTATAATTTTCTTTCTTTCCTCCCTATGTAATCTACCTCCAAACTTTCTCCCTCTTCTCCTACTCTACCCAACTTTTATATCTAGCTTCTCAACCAAGGTAAGACCTCCAAACTTGGTGGCCATGGTGGCGTATGTCTTTAATTCCAGGGCTCAGGAGGCAAGAGACAGGCAAAGATCTCTGAGTTTGAAGCCAGCCTAGTCTACAGAGTGAGTTCCAGAGTTCCCAGAGAACAGCTGGGAAAGAAATCCTGTCTCAAAAAAACAAAACAAAAAAATACAACAAAAGGCCTCCAAATTTTATTTGGGCTCCTTACTCTCTATTCTGCAGCCTGCAAACTTCTAGTATGAACTGGGGTAACCAGAGAGTGCAGGTTTGTCTCCTTTCTCTCAGAGATCACTGGCCACTGAGACCTATTAGTACCCATAAACAACAAACTGCTTTCTTACACAATGTCTAACATTGTCTAACTTTTTCTTTTAGTGTTGAAGACAGAAAAGGGCTTTGCATTGGCTAGACAGCACACTGGACCACTGAGCTAGCTTTCTGGGGTTTGTTTCTTTGTTTGTGAGACAGGGTCTTGCTCTGTGGCTCTGGCCCAATGGGAACTCACTATAAACCTTGCTGGTTTCTAATGTGTGGTGATGCTTCTGCCTTACCCTCACAGCTGTTTACCACACCTGACTTGTTCTTTGAGACAGTCTCTAGTTTGAGAGGCTCTTCCTCTCTTACTCTTCCAAGTGCTGGCATTACAGAAGGCTACTATGCCCAGCTAGTTTTCTGGTTTCTTTTCTTTCCTATTTACTATTTATTTATGGGAGAGGGGCGCAGGTACAGCGGTCAGAGAACAATTTGCACAAGTCAATTCTCTACTTTGATCCAGGAATTGAACTTAGGTCATCAGAAACCTTCACCCACTGAGCCATCCACCTCATCAGCCCTGTTTTCTGGTTTCTTAAAGTAGCAAGATGTGGTTATTACTAAGGTCAATATCACAGGATTTAGAAGACGAGCCTCTGGGCATGCCTGTGAGTAATCATCTTGATTAAGTGGAGTGGTATGAGAAAATCCATCTTAACTGTAGGTTGGACAAGCCCCTGGGCTATATAGAATGGAAAGAATAAGCTGAGCACAGGCATTCGTTGCTCTCTGACTGCAGATAAAACAGGGCCAGCTGCTTCAAGTCCCTGCAGAAGCTAAAATAAATCCTTTCTCCCTTAAGTCACTTTTGTCAGAATATTTTGTCACAGCAACAAGAAGTCAGAGGATTAAATCCAGGCCTTGTTTTAATACTATTGCTGGACATAATATTGCAAATCAAATAGTAATCCCTTCATTTCACATCTTACTCAACTCAACACCTCCTCTTTGGAATACCTAACCAATGACTTTCTTCCTTTTTTCTTGACACTTGCTCCACTCTTAAGTCTGATACTGAACTCCTTAATTCTCCTGCCCTTCCTTTATAGTGCCATAGTGCCTTGGATTTCTTCACTTAGCAACAACCCAGAGGAGAAAAACAAACTTTAGAAAGTAATCAACTAAGCTTTAAAATCCGTCTATCCATATATAGATATATCCAGAAAAATAACCAGAAGTTAATTCCATTCCAATGTTAAGAAAGGTAGCCCAGCCAGATGGTAGTGGAGCACTCCTTTAATCCCAGCACTTGGGAGGCAGAGACAGATAGATCTCTGAGTTTGAGGCCAGTCTGGTCTACAGAGTGAGTTCCAGGACAGCCAGGGTACACAGAGAAATCCTGTCTTGAACCCCTCCCCCGCAAAAAAAGATGACTGTTCTGGGTGTTTTTTAATGCCAATCTTTTTTCCATATTCTTAGAATACAAAAATACACAGAGACAATGAGATGTATATGTACTAGAGTCAATATGTGACAATGTGTGTGTAAAAGAGAGAGGGAGAGAGAGAAAGAGAGAAGAGAGAGAGAAGGGAGGGAGAGAGGGAGGGAGGGAAGGAGGAGGAAGGGAGGGAAAAATAGTGCGAGCACAGACCAGGCTGTGCTGCATGATCTCCTTGCCTCAGTCTCCTGAGCTCCTAAGCACTGGGATTGTAGACATCAACCACAGTTCAGAGTTGTAGTTGGTTTTGCAAACCATTCTCTCCAACTGACATTTTTGAAACCGTCATGCACTTTCCACCTACAGCCTTCATGAACCCCCCTCCATTCTAACGACGTATAGCCCTCTAATAAGCCTCAATCATTTCAACTCTCCTTTGTTCCCACACCCACTCAAAAATCCTACCATAGCCAGGTTTGGTGCTGCATGTCTAGGAATCCTAGCACTCAGAAGGCTGAGGCAGGAAGACCACAATTTGAGGACACATAAAAGGGAAAAAAATTAAAAGTAACAAAAGCCCAAACTTACCATAAACAATTCACAGGAAATAGTGAATACTGCAAAGAGGCCTGGCAGAGGGTTCTCAGAGTAGCATTGAAAAGCCACTTTTTCCAGGTCAGAGATTCAAGAGAAATCATCAAATATGAAGCAACGACCTTGGTGTACAACAAGATTGTATGGGGAGAAAGAGGTAGATATTGAGGACAGTGCCAATGCTGGATAAGCCCAGAGGAAAAACTATTGAGTGGGGTTGAGAAGCTGGGGACACAAGGAGAAATCAGGATTCAAATAGCATTCTGACATAAAGCTATTTTGGCAAACATCTTGACATTCAATACTGGTTGAGCTGAATAATGAACGCCAGTTATCAATTTTTTACCTCACAGTTAAACCAGTATCTGAATGATGATGTCTTTTTATATTATTTTAAAAAGAAGTAATAACTGAACAAAGTGCAGAATTCAAAGGTTGTGAACTAGTATGGATGAAGTCTGAGGCACTATAATCTCAGCATTCCAAAGGCAGGAAGACCAGGATACAGAAGCCAGCCTGGACTGCAAAAGACCTTCTTTCAAAACAAAACAAAAACTACTCACAAAAAGACAAACCAGGCAGTGGTGGCACATTCCATTAACCCCAGCACTCAGAAGTCCGAAACAGGGGGACCTCTATGAGTTCAAGAACAGTCTGGTATAGAGAACAAGTTCCAGGACAGTTAGGAATACACAGACAAATCCTGTCTCAAAACACACAAAAAAGGCAATTATCACGTAAGTTTTGCTATATATATTTTACCTCTATTTTTAACTTTTTCACAATCAAATTTTTCAAGTTTTATTACTTAACTCTTTTTTAAAAATGGTCTTTTTAAACAGCCACATGTATCCCAGGTTGGCCTTGAACTATGTAGCAAAAGATGGCTGTGAAATCCTGATTCTCCAACCTTTACATCCCAAATCCAAGTAGACTCTATATCCAACTTAAAGTTTTATACTCACTAATTTGATCTTCTTCTTCTTCTTCTTTTTTTTTTTTTTTTGAAGCAGGGCATCATTCCACAACAAAGACTGGCCTCAAGTACGTAACAATCTTCCTGCCTGCCTCAGCCTCTTGAGTGCTGGGATTAAAGACATGAGCTACAACAAAGTTTTAAAGTCACAAAATACTATATAGAAGCCTGTCGTGGTGCGCACACCTTTAATCCCAGCACTTTACAGGCAGAGGCAGGCAGAGGCAGGCAGAGCTTTGTGAGTTCAAGGCTAGCCTGGCCTACAAGGTGAGTTCCAGGACAGCCAGGGCTATTACAGAGAAACCCTGTCTCAAAAAACCAAAAACCAAAAGAACAAAAAATAAATAAATAAAAACCTATACAGAGAAAGTATCTTACAATTCTGTCATCCATCCATCTCCAGAGACCTTCCACTAATACATTCTACTCCCTCAGAGATCATCTAGATATGCTTGTACATCTTTTATTTTAAAGTTGAGTGAAGCCGGGCAGTGAGGGTGCACATCTTTAATCCCAGAGGAAGAGGCAGGTGGACCTCTGTGAGTTTGAGGCCATCCTGGTCTACAAGAGTTAGTTCCAGGACTGCTAGGCCTGTTACACAGAGAAACCCTGTCTCCAAAAAATAAAAAAATAAAAAAGATGAGTGAATGTAGATTTAAGAAAGAGGTTCCAAGGGAGGAAAAGAATACTCCATGTCTAACAGAGTCAACAAGAGGAAAGAAAAAAAGGAAAAAAAATGCTTCATGTCTTTTAAATAAATCTACATAGTAGTATATGGCTTATTAATAGCATGCATATGTCTGTGTGTGTACTGTGATGCACTTTTATCTTTTCATTTAATGGATCTTAGAGACTTCTGAATTAATTCATATAGTATTAGCAAACTCATTCTAAGAGCTAATTCAGTGTATGACTAAATTGTTTTCCTAGTTCTTTACAGACAGGTTTAGTCCTAACTTTTATGATTTATCAATGCAGCATTTACTGACAGGATAGTTTTTTACAGATAGGTTTTGTCCCAACTTTTATGATTATCAATGCAGATACTATCTAACCCCTACACACACCGTACATGTGCACAAAATGGAATGATGTACTCATGTTACTGAGTTCGTGCACAGCATTTCACATACAAATTTTACTGGTGTATAAGTGGCCCTTATAAGTTTGGCATCTGCTGGTTAAATCAACTGTGGGTGAGATACTCAAGAAAAAAAGGGGGGGTTGGGTGAAGGGTTTTCAGTTTTAAGTGGCTATAATCCTAGCTCCTTGGAAGACTGACACAGGAGAGTCACAAATTCAAGGCCTGCCTGGCCCAAAATGTCAGTTCAGGCCAGCCTGGGCAACTTAATGAGATCCTGCTTCAAAATAAAAGCTGAAAAAATGTAGTTCATCTGTCTAGCATACATGAGGCCTTAGGTTTAATATCTGATACCATGAATGTATTGAATATGTACACCATCAATCACAAAATAATACAGAATAATAACAAGTGTTTCATGGTATTTACACTCTACTAGGTATGATAAGGAATGTACAGATGGTTTAAAGTACACAGAGGATGTGTGTACAAGGTCATGCACAAATACTGCAATGTAAGTTCATAGACAAAATGTTAAACACAAGAAGCTAGACAAAGAGAACCTACTATAAGATTTACTTTACTTAAAACTAAAAGAGAACAAAACCAAAGTATGAACAGAAGACAGAAATGTGATCACCTCTAGGAGAGGTGACACCAACCAGGAAGACAATAG